TGATTTTATTTCATCATATGACTTGTGAACATTGCCCTGGTGATCAGAAGCATTGAAACTGAGCATTATGAGTTTTCTTGATAAAAGTAAAAGTACTTAATTGTGTAGGTAAATGTTTTCAGAAAAGAAAAAAGATAAAAAAAAGAAGGCAGGGAGGAAGTATGGTAATTCTAAAGTTCTGCTTTTCCTCATTGCCACTTGCATGAAAATCTTATTGTTTTGAGTGTTGATACAACTGTGTTATTTCTGAGTTGTAAGTTGCTGTTTTTTCTTTAAAAATGACAGGTTTTCATTTGATCCCAATGCCAAGTTGGGTTTGGATATTGCTTCCTGCATTCTTACAAGGTATTTTCTGCAGTTGTGGTCAACGTTTTTGTTATTAATTCCCATAAGTTTTAGCAAGAACTTGAATTTTCAATTTTGGGGTTAAGTCTATTGTGACTAGATTAGATTTACCTTGAATCTACATTTATTAATTTGATGCATTCTTATTACTGCAGGGCTCCACTAGGGCTAGATGCTGAAGGAAAAACTAAATATGTTATACGACCGTAAGCCTTCTTATTAAACCTATAATTTTCTTGATTTGAACTTTCCTTATCCTGCTTAATGTTACTTGCTTGGTGATTTGGATGTTTAAAATGCTTTATTCCTCTCCTATGTTATTGAACCGATTTCTTCAATTTCTGATCTTGAGTGTTCTACAAATTTTTCAATGAAAGACACAGAAAAGGAATAAATGAAACTATGAAAGCTGGTGTTCCTACTGATATCATATCTTTGATTTTTTTTTTTTTTTTGGTCAGCATCATATTTTGATGTTTTGTTCTGAGATGATTAGATTTATGCTATGTTCTTTATGTGGATTAATTTCAATGCTCAGGTATACTCCAATATCAGACCCAGATGCTAAAGGATACTTTGACTTATTAATAAAGGTAAGAAGCAATCAGTGTCTACCTTCCTTGTCCTCTTTCTTTTTTGCTCTTTTAAAGATGCCATTCCATCATAGACAACTACTAGTAATGCAAATCACTTCATCCAGAACTTAAAAAATATTTTTGCAGGTGTATCCCGAAGGAAAAATGAGTCAGCATTTTGCAAGCTTGAAACCAGGCGATGTTGTTGAAGTTAAAGGGTAGGTATTCCATGTGCTATGGTTCTTATTGTGATATTATGGTGTATTATAGTTAAAACTCAATTCTTTATCTCTTTCAGGCCCATTGAAAAGCTCAGATACACTCCTAACATGAAGAAACATATTGGAATGGTAAGTGCTCATTTCTTAGATGTAAATTTTAATTTAATCAATTTCCCCTCCTAAAGAAGTGAAAGAATTCTGGCACTGAGGTCAATTCTTCACACCCGGTGCCAATTTCAATTTCCAAGGCTCAGAACGGCTCATAAAAGCCACTGGTGTATTTTGTGTTCTCTATTGTCAACTCTTTGCATATAGTTTTCTATATTCTATTCGATGTTTACTTCTAATCAAATGATCTGCTAAATGGTTAGTGTCATTATTAGTAACAACTACAACCACACAAAGATATCAAGGATTACTAAAAATGTTGCAATCACTTGTCTGAAGTACAACTGTATTCTGTCCTTCTAGATTGCAGGCGGCACAGGCATAACACCAATGCTTCAGGTGATTGAGGCTATACTGAAGAATCCTGATGATAACACCCAGGTAAGCTATTCTGCTATCTATTTTTTTCAAGCAAATTCTTGTATCTTTTTCATCACTCATTTCTAGTTTCTAGACTAAATATAACAGTTGGTTGTACTTTTATCTTGACAGGTATCACTGCTCTATGCCAATATTTCTCCAGATGATATACTGCTCAAGCAGAAGCTTGATATACTTGCAACTAGCCACCCAAATTTGAAGGTACCATTAGTTCGGATTTGGATATGAAATAGTTTCTGTATTGATGGATATTTTCCTAAAGCTTATTCTATATCCAATCTTTTTCAATTCTCGTGTGAGAATTCCAGGTATTTTACACAGTGGACAATCCATCCAAAAATTGGAAAGGTGGTTCAGGTTATGTATCAAAAGACATGGTTGTGAAAGGTTTACCTGCTCCTGGTGTTGATACTCTTATCCTAGTAAGTGACACTTCTGCTTCTCAAAATTTTGCCTTAATCTCTGACCAAATTGTTTACCAATGACAGCAGTCTGGCATTTTCAAAACAAACGAGACCATGCCTGTCTATAAGTGTAGAACTAAATTATAACTTATTTTCACTATTGCTGACGAACTGACAGGGTATTGTGATGACTGATGAGTTTGTTTCTTCAAAACGCTGATGCCTTTCTTATGTTTGTTCAGGTATGTGGTCCTCCAGGGATGATGAATCATATATCTGGCAACAAGGGTAAAGACTACTCACAAGGAGAGGTATGAAAGGCAATTTGAGTGCTTATTTTTTCTTCACAAGTCAAAAGCCCTAACTGTAGCCATTTTTTTCTTGTAGCTTGCCGGCATACTCAAAGAACTTGGATATACTGAGCAAATGGTGTACAAGTTCTGAAAGATGAAGGTGGCATTTGATGAAGCTGCTTTTCTCATGTTTCCAACACAAATTTTGTGTAACAATGCCCATTCTTGAAATGGCATTTGGGTAGAATTTAAAGCAAATGGATATTATTAAATAATTTGCTGATAGTACACAATTGAAGCAGATACTTTTTTCTCTTGGGGGCAAATAAAGCAAATACTAATTGATATATCTGCAATTGATTTGTTATCTGCATATATTTCTATGGTGGTTGTGGGTGGTAGTTATGGGATGACATGGGCTACCAAATCCCTGAAATCGTTCATATTGAATTTAATATATTTTTTATGAGTATAGATATCACAGGAGTTTGGAATTGGGATATTCCATTTTGATCCAAACCTAAACTGTAGGGTACATGCTAAAAAAAAAAAAATGGAAGTCTACAAGATGGGCTCCCAGACCCACGTCCATAACTGCTTTCCATTTCAACAAATCCATGTTATCCTCCCTCCCCATATCTTCACCATATACTAGTATACTACTCAAATAAGGAACCCACACCAGAGAGGGTCGATGTCCATACCGGTCACACCCGGCCACACCCACTGCGAGTTCAGTGCTGTCTTACCTCAACCCGAATAGCTACAGAGCGCCCCATACCACAAGACTACAGCACAAAACCACCACACCGCTTACTCTGCGAACAATCTCAACCCTTTTCGTAAAAACAAGAGAAATGCTAGTGACAAAATTCCTTTTTGTACTCTTCTTCCACACTCGTAATATAATTGGTCTACGTGATGATTTTAAATTTAAACTAGACCTGGTCTTTTTTCTTTCTTTTTTTTAATTATAAAGTTTTTATAATAATTAATTATTACATGTCTATCTTAGAGTTTTGAGGTTAACTAGCTATAAAAATTGCAAGGAAGTCTAAGATTAACTAGCCAAGAATTTAGAAATTAAGGATCGAGTTATGGGTTCGAGTGCCCATGACTGGGTTTTCTCTAGTTTTTTCTGGTGTTAATAGTTAAGTTTGTATTATATACACACACTTGTATACTGCTGTGTACATAGAAAAAGACGATAGTGAAATTGGTGAATTTTCATGCATCCTTATTTCCTAACTTATTTAGGGTATTTTTGTCCTTCTATAAATCATACAACTAATAAATATTTTTATTGTAAGACTTTTAAAAAGTTGAGGTTAAGAAAAATTTTGGGATTTTCCAATAAAACCAAACAAGAGAAATGATACTAGTTGAATATTTATAGTACATGTGGTGGCTTCTTAATGGCCTATGTCTCCCATGGAATAGTTAAACTAGGTAAGGCTTGTTGGCTTGATTTAATCTAAAAAAGGTCATCATGAACTACTTAGTAGAATTACATATCTACAAGGTTTTTAGATTTATAATTGATAAATTATCTTAATTAGTAAGATACTTCATGTGAAGCTATTATGCTAGCTTAATTGCCAAGACTAAGTAAAAGACAAGGTATAAAGGATAAAGGGTTTATATCATGTTAGATAGTACATGTTTAGACTATTAGACCATATTACTTGTAGAATGTTAAAAGACGTTGCCCACTTCTCTCTTTATCTTATGCTCATATATATTACTTATATAGAATGTCGCATATGCCACCTTAACTATTCTATAAGATAAGAAACCTACGAGGTACAAAAATTGACATATATGCTTACCATATGACAAATCAAGAAAGAAACTATAAAAAAGCCACCTCACTCCAAAAAAGTAATTCTTTTGAATCCTTCTTCCCTTCCAGCCTTCCTACTCCCTTCCTTCACCTTCTCTGGACCATACTTAAGCATTGGAGGGCGCACATCGAAGGCACCTCCAGTGCCCCCCTAAAAAGTTTTTCCTTTCTTCCACTCGTAGGTGACGCAAGTGCTCGAAAACCTTTTCCAGTTATTCCAAGCAGTAAAATCAAGAATATCACGAAAATATTGTGTAAATTTTTTTTCAAAATCTTCCAAATACCAAAAAATGTCTTTTCGAAAAAAATATTTTTTTGATACAAAATTATCCTCTGCAAACCAAACAAACCCTATATCAATAAATCTATGGTTATTTATCAAGAAATTTTTGTGCAGTTTGGCCCCTTGAATGTGGGGATGTATTGCGTTCTTTTTATTTAGAATGTTTCGTATATTTGGCTCAATATGAGGCTACTGAAATTTGGCGCGCATTGCTCAGCTTACTTACAACTTAAAATAATTAAATTAATTTATACTTTTTTAAAATAATTATGGATTTTTTTATTTTTTATTCAAATTAAGGATACAAAGATAATTTATGTGTATAAAAAAAAGACAGTTTTTTTCTTTTTTTTACATCATAGGGTAAAAAATTCTCAGTGTCACAGAAGTTTAAACTTTTAATATTGATTTCAAATTAAGATTTTTAAGTTAATTAATAAATATTAATTCAATTAAATTTTTATTGATAAAAAAATTAAAAGATAGTAAATAAAGACTTTTTATAATAAAATAATTAATTAAAAAAAATAAATAATCAAAATACTGGTTTAGTAAATAAATAATAACAATTAATTTATAATAAATTCGTAGTCAGAACTGAACATTTTATTTTGGGACATAAGAAGTATAAATTTAGTAGTTCGCAATGCACGCTGCACAGACAAAAATGTAATTCAAATATTAAAATTACTAAAATATTATTAATAAATTAAGATAAAAAATTTTTATTTAATGGAATTTTGATATTTTGACAAATTTATAAAATCTGGATTTTTTTGTGCAGATGATTAAAAAACACTATTTGATAATTTATTATAAAATGATATAATTATAATGTTATATAACATTATAAATTTATAATATAATGTATTATTATATAATTGACTTTTTTTATTTAGGGTTTTATCTATTATATTAAATATATCTATTTATTTAATGACATGCCATACTTATTTAATAAAATGTTATAATTGTAAGTTTATAATTTTATATAATATTGTAACTATATCATTGTCGAACTTATTTCTCTCTCTATCCTAGGTAATTGTGTTTTTTGATTTTTTTCTCTAAATTATGGATATGAGAATAATATTTGTATTTAGAATAAGGATCCATCTATATATAAATTTTACACACTACAATTACATTAAATCTTGGTTATCATTTTTTAACTTTTAATTGTTGAGATTTATTATAATTGTTTAAATAAATAATAATAATAAATCACAATAATTAAAAGTTAAAAAAATAAATAGTTAAGATTTTATATAATTATAATGTGTAAAATTTATATGTATTTATCTAGAATATCTTTAAAAAAGAAATAAAAGATAAAATGATATATTTTATAATTAGATAATTAATTAAAATAAAAAATAATAATAAAATTAAAATAAAAAATATTTATGTATTTTAAAAAGTAAAAAATGTAATTAATTTAAAATAAATTCAAGCTGGGCAGTGTAGGGGTGGGGTGAGGGGCTAAGGGGGTAGGAAATGTTTTTGGGCGCGGCCTGGTGGCTGGCCCGTTTTGACCACCGGGTCCGGGTCAACCGGTTGAACCGGTTCACCCGATTGGTTCAACCGGTCAACTAAAAAAACTTTCTTTTTTGGCATTTTTATTAAATTTTACTTTTGTATGTTACTTTCACTCTATTTTTAAGAACTAATCATCATAAAATCAACTTGAAAATTATCATTTAAGCAATTTAAAATAATAAATTTAATTAAATGCATATAATTTTTAAGATTAAAACTAATAAATATTAAAATACATAATATGAAATAAATATATCAAGCATGATAATAATAAAGAATTTAATCTTAAACTGAATTTACTACAAAATAAGTACTAAATACAGAAAAAAAATCTCAAACCAAATCCACAAATCCACTACAAAATAAGTCTTGAATATATATAAAAAAAAAATCTCAAACCAAATCTATAACAAAAACAAATATTAAATAAATAAAGTATCATTACTAATTCATTTGTTTTGATTTAAATGAGGAGCATCTTCATCAAAATAAGCATGTAACTCTCAAAAGTCTTACTTGCTATCACTTTCTTTAGAACCATCACCAATTGTTTCTAATTCAATTTCTCCACTACAACAACCAACTTCCTCACCAACTTGCTCTTCCTCATTGCCTTGAAATTGAAATTATAGAATTATGCAACAAAAACAAATGTAAAAAATAAGTTTCAGTTGTTTATTAACTAAATGATATAATAATATAATGTATTAAAAATTAAATTAACTAATGACTAACCTTCCTTTTGATTTATATGACAAATTGGAATTGCACCTTCATTATAAATCATATTTTTCAATTCATCATAATCAAGAATTAGAGAATCATCTTCTTCCATTATCCAACAATCAACATTGTCTATGCTCTCATAATCAATAGGATCAAAACTAATCTTCTTACCATCAATCCTATAATTCAAGAATCATAAAGATTAGTAAAAAATTAAATTAATAAAGCTTAAGCAAAAGATAAACAATGATTTCTGCTACTGCTTCTAGTCGGTGGAGTAGGAGAAAAAGGCAGCAGTAGAGGAGATGAAGAGTAGAAGGAGTGTAGCAAAGGAGAAGAAGTTCTGCTTTGCTACTTCTATTGAGTGAAGGATGAGGAAGATTCTGATTTCTATTGCTGCTTTTGTTTAGTGGAGCAAGAGAAGAAGGGCAGCGACAGAAGAGATAAGGAAGAGAAGGAGGGCAGCGATGGAGGAGATGATCTGCTCTATAACAGTATAACTTTTGTTTTGCTTTACTGTTTCAGTCCAATGAGGAAGGAGGAGGTGATCGGTAGTCAACAGAGGAGATGAGGAGGAGGTGCTCAACGGAAGAGAGAAACCACTTTCCCAAGACAATCTGTTTTGTTTTGAGCAGAACAGATGAGGTAGATGAAGACGATCGGCAGAAGAGAAAAAGTGTAGCGATAAAGGAGAAGATCGACGAACGATCGACGAAAGAGAAGATCTGTCCTTCTGCAGTTCTGTTGGTTCCTTCTGGAATTTGGGTTTTGCAATTTGTTTCCCACTGTCTCGAACTCCCAATGATCTTAGATTCTTAGGGTTTTTACTTAGTTTGACTGATTTTTAATTTAAATTTTAAATTTTAATTTAAGTCAAAAGACAAAAACTTAAAAAGATGATGAAAATTTCAGCCCGATCGGTTGTAGCAGGTTGCACGAGTTCAGCTGGCGTGACGGGCGTGATGGGTTTCAACGGGTTTCAATAGGCCATTTACCTTAATGGGCTGAAGTCTTCAACCGGCCCATTTTCAAGCCCGGATCCGGTTGAACTGGTTCAACAGGCCGGGCCGGGCCGGGTGCAAAAACATTACATAGGAACTCTTTCATCGTAGTTTGGGTACAAGAAGGAGGGCAAAATAGGAAGCTCAGTTACCTGATCCGGAGGAAGCTGTAGGAAATTTTAGTGCCTGAGTGGAGAATAGAAATACTATTTTTTTTTTTTTAATTTTTTTTTTCAAATGTCCGAAGTATGGCTAAATTGGAACTAACCCTAATCTCTTCTTCATGTGAACCCAATTCATTAACACTCGTCTACTCTCCCTCTTGATCTCTCCATCTTCTCTCTCGACAGCTTCCACAGCTCCTTCGTTCTCATGCCAGACATGGAGGAAGAATTGCAGAAGCGAAACACGGATTGCGTTTATTTCCTAGCTTCTCCTCTCACCTGCAAGAAGGTTCCTTTCAAACCCATTGAAAGCAGCTTCTTTTCTCTTTTAATCTTTGCAAATCGTTTTTCTTCTTCATTTTTTTTTTTTTAATTATCTCCGACCCTGTTTATCAATCTTACTATTGCAAATAATCAGTTGCCCCGACCGGCATTTTAGGGATCTTGGGAGTCCAGGGTTTTGTTGAAAGAAAACTGTTTCACTTTTTCCAGTTTGGATTCAATTCAATTAACTTCGTTTTTTTTTTTTTTTATTCTCTTTTACGTCGTGGGTTGGTTTTGTGTGTCTGCAATTTTGGATTCTGGTATTTCTTCTTTTCAGCTTCTAACTGATTGGGATCCTAATTTAGTATAGGAAGCATTGAGTCCTTTCAATTGGTAATTGACTCTGGGTGGGTAATATCAGGTCTGCAGAGCCTGCTTTGGTTTTATGCATTGCTTGTGTTTTGTGTATTTTGTTAAGATTGTTAAAGATTTGATCTTTTGGGTTTATCATTCTGTAGCTTTCATGTTTTACAATGATCTGATCTGATATCTTCTTTGGTTGGGGAAAAGGAAAATAATTGAGTTATGCTGTTTTTTTCTTTTTTCAGGGAGTGGAGTGTGAGTTTCGGCACAATGAGAAGGCTAGGCTCAACCCAAGGGACTGCTGGTACTGGTTGTCTGGGAATTGTCTTAATCCAACATGTGCTTTTCGGCATCCTGTAAGCTCATTCTCTTTTTGGTTCATGTTGAGCGTATGATATGAATATAGTTGTTGGAGTTAAATAATATATCTTGAAAGTTATATGTCTTCATACATTTAGTCTTCTGTACAATGAATAACCAGTCCTGTATTTTTCTTTTTGTTACCATAAAGATTCTAATGTCATATGTTCAAGAACTTGAGTTCCCTTATACTAATGGATTGCCAGGCATCTCATTAGGAGAAAAGTGTACAGTCAGGTACCACAAATATACAATCTTAGAATGTTCCTATAGTTAGAATTTGTATTCTAACAAAATTTCAATTAAACTGATTAAACTTGTTTAACTAAGTCTCTGTCTCAAATTCTTAAGGATAGGCCATGTGCATCTTTTTTCTTAATTGAAGCCAATGTCTGTTTTATTTCACACTCACAGTTTTGAATTTCCACAAACATTTGATGATTTGTCTACCAATTTTTTCCTTTATTCCTTTTTCCTCTCCCAGTGTGCACCCATATTTGTACGTTGCACTACTTGAAAGAACTGTCACCTGGTTGATAGTTATTTCATATGAATACTATTGTGCCACAATGTCCCTTGTGCTGATTGTCAGAGAAAGTTGATAGGGTATTATTCTATGTTGAAAGGTGGCAGCTTAGCTAAGGATGATTCAATTAGTTCATGGTCAGGTGTCTGGTGTTCCATTCTTGATATTAGTGTTATAACAATATGAGACTATTGTGATGATGGCTTGATGTTGTAATGTTGTGAGACTAGATTGTAAGATATCTAGGCTTGTGTTTTTGGAATCCTATGAGAACATATAGGATATGGCCTTTTCTACTAAGCCTCAAGTTAGCCTTCCCAGACATTCACTCTGGTGGGAGAGTGATTAATAATGACCTATTCTTTGTTTCTTTCTAACTCTTTACTTTTAAATTCAGGCAGTTCCAGGTTCCCAAATGTGGTTGCCTAGTAGATACATTTTAGGGTTACAATGGCTTTCTCACTTCTGAGCTCAATCAATGGTTATTTATAGAGTTATTGATGACATTAATTTGGAAGCTGAATTTTCTGGAAATGGAAGGGTATCTTGGTGTATCACTTTTTACAGTTTCTACAATTTCTGTGTTAGAACCTTTCTTCTTTTTTAATAAATCAAGATTTATCAAACAAACTGGAGGTTTTTTAATGATATGGCTATACCAATTATTACAAGTATTTCCTCCCATGAATTGTTAAAGAGGAAATTATCATTGTCTTTTTTCCAAATGAACCTTGGTATAACTGCAGGAAAGTAACAAATAAAATGTTATTATTGATACATCATTGAAATTGATTTTGAAACTACAGATGTTTCTTTATTTTCATACCATTATTTCTTAGAGTCTAATGAGTACGCATCACTTTGAATATTTTTACCTTTGACTTCAAACGTGGAGGTTTCTTTTTAACAGATGTACAAGTTAGGGATGTTTGCACTTGCATATTTAAATTATCATGAGAATACAAGTGTACTAGGCACATGATTACAAAACTTACACTATTTTATTTTTCCTCTTCCATGGCCATGCCCTTTCTTGTTATTGTAATTCTTTTATATATATATATATATATATATATATATATCCTTCATTCTCACTGTTTTCAGGCCATATGATCTGCTTTGATTAGTTGCATCTCATGTATTATCTAGATGTTCTTCTTCATATCAATCACATTTACCATGTGTTCCGAAGTTATCCCAGAGTCCAATATACTGCCTAAACTACCTAATGGTCATTATAATAAAAAGAAATTCTGGATAACTTTAGTGTTTCCTATTTGTTGACATGATATCACTTAAGGACAAATTTGGGCACAAAGACTTATTGTTGATTTCATGAGTCTTGGAAGAATCCACTATCATCTTATATCTGATCTTTCTTGGCTAAATAGGACAGATAACCTGAAGCAATAGAGACCATAATAGAAAAGGGTAGGCATTAAAACATCATAACAACAAGTGTTGGCATTCAACATCCATAGTCTGTTTTCCATTTTGGTGCATTACCTTTTTTATTGTAATTAAGCATCTTTTTGTTTATTATTCAACTTGTTCTTCTGGTCTATGGAGGTGTGTGTTTCTGTCTTTTGGCTTCATTTTCATTGGTGGTTATTATTTGAGGAGGTTATTAAGGAGTTCTACCTTTGCAGCCACTTGATGCACCTTCTCCAAAGCCTGCCGAATCTACTGCATCAAAGTATCAGGGTTCTACACCAATCAATAAGACTGGGACTCCTTGTTACTTTTATTACAATGGTTACTGCAATAAAGGTGACAGATGCCCTTTTCTGCATGGTCCTGATGGTAGCTCAACAGTGGGGAAACCTCTGAAGCCCGAAGTGCTCCCCTCGGAAACTAAGTCATCTACAGGAAATGATACTCTATCAGCTCCAACAGAAACAAGTAACAAGCCTTCTGCAACTGCACAAAAACCAACCATGGAAACCAGTGTTAAGGTTAAAGAGGATTTTCAGAAATCAGCCTTAAGAAATTTGCCACAGAAAAGTATCTCTCCACAGATATCTGAGTCTGAATTTGAAGAAGCTGCTAGAGTTAAGTCAGCTCCTATGCTTCAGGCAGAAGATGTCACTCAAATAAGATCAAATATCTACACAGATCAGAGTTCAGAGGATCAAATGGATGACCATGTTGAACCAGAAGAGCGGTTGGAGTCATCCCCAGGTTTTGATGTTCTTGTGAATAACAAAACGGAGAATTTGGATTATGAGGATGAGTCAGAGTATTTACTTGCCCTTGATGGGGAGCACAGGGAGCATTTCTTGGGTTATGATCAGGATGTGTATGATGCTTACGATCACTTGGATAATGAGCATATTTTTGATAATGTCAGAAGACCTTCTGACCACTTGGGAGAAAGATTGGATTCGGTATTTTCCCAAAAGAGAAGAAAACTGCTGCCCGATGAATTGTTGTCTGATGTACGGAGTGGTGTGGACCTTAGGGAGCACTTGAGGGGGCGCAGAGGAATTGATGAACACACGAGTAATCATTTGTCAAGACGGCATGAATCTTCTCGTCTTGTTGGCCGAATTCAAGGAAGGCCTCAAAGGCATGGTGTACCAATATCTCAGCGATTGCATGGAAGATTGGCATCACAAGTGGAAATTGAATCACTCGAAGACAATGGTATTTTTTCAAATGGCTCCGAACAGCATGGCTGGCACAGGCACGTGGACTCTAATGGCTCTAGGCAACATTACAGGGAAAGAAGGGTGGCTAAACAGCAGTCCACTTCATTTGAGGTGTCAAGGAAGAGGAGATCTCCTGAACCATCTGCTACTTTTTCAGGACCCAAAAGCCTTGCCCAGATTAAAGAAGAGAAGAGAAGAGCTGAAGAGTACGGCACCAAAACTATGGCAGATTTTGACAGTCCAAAACCATTGAGTGAAATCCTCAAGGACAAAGGAAGGCCTCAGGCTTAGTAGCAGTGTAAGGGATTGAAATTTTAGAAGCACTTGTTAGAAAGGAAACATTAAAAATCTTTTCAACATGATAGGAACGATGATCGTTTAGTGAAGAGAAAAGTTTTAACTATTCAGAAGACGTAATGACAAATTCGGTTTAGGTACAGCCTTCTGGCATATTCTCCTACCTTGACTATGTTGTGGTGTGTTGATACATTGCTACTTCTGGATCAACTTTCATTTTTGTTATTGATACTGCTGGATAAAGATGCTTCTCTATCAGTTCAGCCTGTTTTAATCTTTCCTCCGTTTGCTTATGCTCCTCCTAGGTTTTTCTATTTTCGATACTCTCCACATGAAGTGGTTCCTTCCATTTAATTAAAAGCACAGGCCAAACCCAACTAAGAAGTTAGATTTCCCTTCAATGCTTTTGAGTCTCTATTGTTCTTCAGATTCTACACAAGGACTCAGTTGCCGGAGAAAATGTGTTCTAATCGTAAATCCAATGAAAAAAAATTAAATTGCTAATTTTATTGATTATACTTGGTCAGTTTGTAAATTTTTATTGATTTGAGATACATACTAGATTCTAAAACCGTCCAACGGGGCGGTTGGTTTGTACTGTATATATATATATTTTTTGGGTAATTGTTAAATATAATAATATTAATTTATAATTAAAATTAATATTTAATTAATAAATATAAAAATTATTTTAAATACACGTTAATTTATTATAAACAGATATCTAATTTCTATACAATTGAATTTTTTTAGAAAAACTTGATAAAGCATTTCATCACATCTTTATATTTATAATTATTACTATTGTATATATCATTATTACCCTAATTTATCTCCTCTGTTGTAAATAACCATATTTAAAAAGTTTTAAGTTAAAATATAAAAAACAAAGCATGTTAGTTCTCTTGATATTTTTTTTCATATTTATACTTTATCTTCTATTAATTTTTCTTATGATGTTATCTTTTAACTTACTCTCATTATTTTATTATTTTATTTATTCATTTACTTATATTTGCCCCACTTTCTCTTTTCATATTAATAATTTATTTGTAATTATTCTTTCTACTTTTATCCTTCCACTATATTATTCAATTTTAATCACTTCTTACACCTCCATCAATTATTATATATATTTTCTTAACACAACTTTTAATTCTATATAAAACTATAAAGTTGTGTTTCTATATTTTTATCATGAGTAGAAATTCATTTACATATAAATTTTATATATCATACTGACATAAAATTTTAATTATATATCTCTCTAATTTCAATGGTTGAAATATATTTATTTTTTATCATATTTATTAAAAATAATTAAAAATTATAATTATTAGTTAATAATTAATAAATTTATTAATGTTTATTATTTAATAGATTAAAATCAACTTATAAGTTA